TATATATATATATATATATATATATATATATATATATATATATATATATATTATATATATATATATATATATAATCTTAATTGAACTAGACAGCATAGACACTAAACAAATAATAAGTAATTTAAAGAAGTTACAAGAAACTGATATCTTCAAAAATGTTTACATTAACATGGTCGAAACTGAAAACGAACGACTATTTTACAATGAATTAAGAAAAATCAGAAAAACAAGAAATGCAGCTCTTACTCATAAAGTTCTTGAAATTATTAGGAGGCAACATTACAATGAATATAACGGAAAAAAATATTATTTAGGGTGAACTTAAAAAAACTGAAATCAAAACTATCCAAACCCTACTCATTTAATTCAGGTATTCACACATTAAATAAAATATATTGCTTCTATTCAAATGCAACTTCACTAAATAACAAATGGAATGAATTTTAGTTAATGCTGAGTAAAAAAAAACCAACCTCATATCATTTGCATATCAAAATTCTTGTTTAATGAAAATCTCTTATCTTCTTACCTAATTATACTCACTACAATAAAAATTGAACAAATAAAAAAGGTGGAGGTATGGTGATTTACATAAAAAAGGACATTACATAAGTAGAAATAAGTTACGAATAATTAAGTTCTATAATTGTATCTATCTGATGTGAAATTAAAACTAAAGCAGAATCTATCTTTATTGGTTGCATCTATAGACCACCACACACCAAGTAACACCACAGAACACCAAGTAAATACTGCAATTAACAATTCCATTACAACAGCTGCCCAACTAGTTAGCTATAAACGTTTCTCAAGTCTCCTAATAGCAGGCGATTTCAACTAATTTTAGACATATTATGGGACATCAATGGAGGATCAAACTGTTTACGTCAATCTCGTATAGAAATTCTAGACATTGCCAGTTAATATTTCTTAGAAAAATTAGTGCTAGAACCAACTTTTAATAACAACATCATTGATCTAGTAATTACAAATGACTTAAACAAGATCTATACAATTAACGTTAATGATCCAATACCTCAGTAAAAAAAAAATGCTTTCATTCAACACTAACCTAGGACTTTTATCTAAATGAATCACACACTATACAAAAAAATCAAAAAATTTTAAAAGGTGCAAAAAAGGTAACTAAATGTAGAATTCAGCAGCATCAACTGGTTTTAAATATTCAATTATCAAGACATAAATGAAATGATAACAGTCAACTTAAAATTTATAAAAATCTAATTGATATTCGTATACCAAAAATCTGTAATAGTAACAATAAAGTTAAAAAAAATTATATCAATTGGCACCATAATGATATCAAAAAAGCAGCTAATCAAAAAAAAAAAATTCCTTATAAAATCTGCTTTAAAATCATGTGACCATAAGAAACAACTTTGAACTGATTACAATAGAAAACCAAAAGAATTGAAAAAATTAGTAAAAAATGCCTGTATTAAACATGAAAAATCAATAATCAACAAATGCAAATTAAACCCAACGTTACTATACAAATATATTAATATTCAAAAATCATATAAAAACAAAGTTATCTCATTAATCAATGCTGGAGTCGATGCTATTTCTCTTTATATTTTGAAAAACTGAAGTTCTGCT